TTTTATATGATATGAATTTTCTATCATTCATGAATTATTTTGATATTAAATTCTTTAATAAATAGAATATTTATTTTTTAAGCCGGATTTTCTTGAAAGTTATAAGTTCTTTTTTTAATTGCATGTTAGTAAAATTTTAAACATTAATGATAAATAAAAAAATTAACTGAATATATTTGAGAGAAAATTATTTTTTTACTCATTATATTTCATTTTATAAAATTATTGTTACAAATAATATTAAAATCAAATTACCAATAAGAAAATTGGTAATATAATAAATTTGATAAGATTAAACTTCATTTGTGATTTTTTTTTTATCATGATTGTAATCAATATGTTATATTATTCTCTTTATATGAGATAAATTTTGAAAATTTTATGTTCTATCAAAACGATTTATATTTACATTTTAAAAAATAAAAAAATAGTTTACAAAATTTAATTTTCTTTTTGAATAGAGAAGCAAGTACAACTATACCTCAATGAATATTCCAATAATTATTATATTCTTAAATTTTATAATTTATAGCAATTCAAGAAAATTTTTGGTAAAAACTTCAATGTTTATAATTTATAATCTTAATTTTTATAATTTATATGCACCAAAATGACATAGTTTATGACCATTATGCCATCTAATATGACCATATCAATATTGATTCAGGGTTAAAAATTCAATGTATTATCAACATAGAGTGATAATTGGAAATATAATAACATAAATTAGAAAAAACTTAAGAACGGTATATCGTTGGGTTTATAAATATAAAGATGGATGGGAACATAAGATATTTGTTTGGATCTCCCAATTATTCTCTCTGTATCATCAGCAATTTCTTTGCGCACAAGACCTACAAAATATATACATGGGATAAAAAGGAGGCTCTCATGAATCTTTATCAATGATAATAACATGGACAATTATGATGCATCCAAAGAGGAAGAAAAGCTTGATATGTGAAAAAGCAATCACCTCACAATTTAATGATCATCCAAATAAAAATATCCGCAAAAAACTTAAAACCACCAAAAAACCATAAATCAAACATAATGCACACAACAATTAGGAAAAAAAATTACAATTTTTTAGGCAAAAAGCTTCTCAGTACATGCCATAAATAAAGTTTTTATAATTATGCATTTTTCTGAAAGGTTGATAGCCACTCACTTTATTTAAAGAAAACCCAAACTCTAGGTAGGCAGGAAAATTCCGACAGTGGCAATGTAAATTTCATAGATACATACAGGAATTATCCATAGAAATAACAATGAAATCACCAGCTCATAGATATAAATCGGATTTTTAAATTCTATTCTAGAAATTTAAAGACAAGTAACTCTAGCTTTTCTAATGATAAAATAAGTTTGAATAGTAGGAAATAAACTGCAACACTCTCTATAACAGTGAAGAGTTGTGCCATAAGGGATGAACAACATTCCAACCGCAAATAGCAACAATAATGCACCATTAAATCAACCAACAAGGAACCCAACAATTAGGAAAAAAAATATAATTTTTTAGGCAAAAAGCTTCTCATTACATGCCATAAATGAAGTTTTTATAATTATGCATTTTTCTGAAAGGTTGATAGCCACTCACTTTATTAAAAGAAAACCCAAACTCTAGGTAGGCAGGAAAATTCCGACAGTGGCAATGTAAATTTCATAGATACATACAGGAATTATCCATAGAAATAACAATGAAATCACCAGCTCATAGATATAAATCGGATTTTTAAATTCTATTCTAGAAATTTAAAGACAAGTAACTCTAGCTTTTCTAATGATAAAATAAGTTTGAATGGTAGGAAATAAACTGCAACACTCTCTATAACAGTGAAGAGTTGTGCCATAAGGGATGAACATTCCAACCGCAAATAGCAACAATAATGCTCCATTAAATCAATTAACAAGGAACCCAATAGTTACCCAAATAAAGAAAAAAACCAATGGGAATCAATCAAGGAAATAAAAAAAATTAAATAACACAACCTGTTCTCATATGCATTCACTATTATGGACATGTTTCCAAAATCAATTGAAAATGAAAATTACATAAAAAAAAGTAAAAAAAAAAAGCAATCTTATAATCATCATTTAGCTAATCAACCAATTGCGGCATATAAGATGTGTTTATCTGCTGTTGAACACTTAACTATCGTTTCTTTTTTTCCTTTTATTTATGTCAAGATAGCTAGATTGTGATGGGCCACTCTCAGATTCTGCACAAAAGAGCAGGAGGCAATAGTCATCCAGGGCTTCCCAAAAATTCTTAGAAATATTAATCTCAAAGAAGAGAAATGAAGCATTAATTGACATTCTTAAACAATGAGATTTTAACAATTAATTTTAAATTAAGAAATTGGTAATTAATTTTGTGCAAATCTTGGTAATTAATTAAAAATGCCAATAATAAAGTTAGAAACAAATTATGTGAAGAATTTAATGTCATGAAAATAAATGTTGGTATAAAAACTAATGTAAAACAAAAAAAAAATGAATTATAAATAATAATATTACAGAATATTGAAAGCATAATTTCACAGAAATTATAAATTTTCATAAAATATAATAATTAAAGGTGCAAATTACTTACCTTAGGCCCAAAGTAGATGATAAATAAGCAGGAACAATCACAGTCTCAATATGTTAGATGTAGATAATTTATGGAAATAATCCTAAAAATAAAGTGAAATATTTGTTTATGACTCATTGTATTCCAATTACTATTTCTAAACATTAAAAAGGAGAGGGATGCATAATTGCTAGTGATTTATATATTTTATAAATTTCTACCTCTAAACATTCTTAATAACTCATTGTATTCCAATTGATAGATTAGTTGCACTCTTTCTTTTTAAATAGGAAATATTTCTCACCACTAACAACACAGTGTGATGTATTCTCTCTCTTAGAGTAGGCCATATATAATTATTCGTTGATATCTAAACTTAATGAATGAGTTAATAGAAAATTTCCATTACTAATATCTTTCATGTGTTTGTCATAATGTTAATTATATTATTGACTCTGAAAATTATCACCCATCCCTTTTTATTATATGAGTGATTATGAGAAAAATCTTAGAAGACAAATTTTATATTAGATATGATACTACCAATAGAGTTTGGGCTAAATGAAGATTTTATGCCCTAAAATTACCACACCTTTTTTAAGGAATAATGGTTGAATACTCACAAAATCCTGATTGCATAATGTTAATAGTACTATTGTCCTATTACCAACTATATATTTAAGATATTTGAGGAATAGGAAGCATGATGTGATGAATGAAGTTTACTGTAATCAACAAAAAAATATAAATATTTTGTCAAACAATTTTAAGAAACATAATTCGGACAAAAAAATTAATTACCTAAATTTGATGCCGAAATAGTACAGATTCTCACAAAATCCTGATTGCATAATGTTAATGGTACTATTCTTTTATTACCAACTATATATTTAAGATATTTGAGGAATAGGAAGCATGAGGTGATGAATGAAGTTTACTGTAATCAACAAAAAAATATAACTATTTTGCAAACAATTTTCAGAAACATAATTCGGACAAAAAATATTAAATTAATTACCTAAATTTGAAGCCGAAATAGTATAGATTCGCTGAAGCAAAAAGAGTTGAGATCCAAATCACGAAAGCGCTAAAGTGAAAACATGCCACAGTCATCTTACCAATTATATATATAAGGGAGAAAGAGAACATGCGACAGTCATCTTACGGGAATTGAATGGTCGGAGGCTGAAACGTTTCGACAATTGAATTCATTTTCATGCATCCAAATAGTGAAGAAACTTTGAAGAATTCCAGGAGACCGAATTAATTGAAGAAATGATCCTGAAACGTTTAAGAAGTTGAAATCACCAAAATAAAAATGCGGGTGATTAAATGCCAGGAAAAACTAACGTTAAAGAAATTTAGAAAAAGAAATCTACCGGAGAAGATGACGACGAGCGGAGGCAGCTAGAATGTTTAAGAAGTTGAAACTCCGAAATAAAAATACGGGTGATTAATTGCTGGGAAGAACAAACGTGAAAGAAGTTTAAGAGTCCAAAAATTTTGGAGAGAAACCTACCTCGGCGAATGGAGTAAGCTAGGGCAAGCCGAAGAGTATGGATGACGACGCGAAGACAAAGACGCGAAGGCGATATTAGGATAGGTTTAGACTTGCACGAAACGGAATTAATAAAATACTATCTTATATAGCTTTGAATTAATAAAACATCCAAAAGAATTAAAAAATTAAACTTAGGGAATCTCGCGGCACTGTATAACATGCCAACAACAACAACAACAACATCAAGCCTTTATCCCACTACATGGGGTCGGCTACTGTATAACATGCCAAAAATGTAAAATTAATAGAATGAGCTTTAATGGTAAAACGTACAGAAAATTTATGGTAAACCGTGCAGAAAATTAATTTAGAATGATCTTTATATAAAAAGAGTTATTTATTGATTTATTAATTATTTATAATGAAATGGATGGATAATAAAATTTTATAAGAAATAAAATGGAGGGCTAGGATTTGCTAGGGAAGGAAACTCAAGCCCCTTTTATAATAGTAGTATAGATGTTGGGTCTATAAGAACTAAAATTCCAAAATTTGTTGGAGGGTAGGAGTAAAGTTCTAGAATTTTCAAGGTTTGGTGTTGTTTAACCTGCAAATTATAAATTTGATGATCTTCATGAAATATTCATTATTCTACTTGGTTTAAAATTATACCAAATGGGAATTTTAGGACAAAGTTGTATCGTTTTAGCTCTTTGAGGTGAAGAGAGTTTGTAGGCCTTTATTACTTTTATGTCCTTTATTCCTACTTTTATAGTGATTCTTTTATGCAATTCCACCTGAAGGACCATCCTAACAGGCAACATGATTAATACAAAATTTTTGGTCATGTCTGCTAACTTTATTAGATTTTTTAACTCAAACAGCTTTTTATTTTGCAGGAATAAAAGGCCTAAGTTGGATTCAGAGGATACTGTAGAGATTGAAGGGCCCAGAATATTCTCCACTGTCGAAGAAAGTACTGGTACCATTAGTTGAATCCCTGACTCATAAGAATCATGGTGTGCAACTTTTATTAACAAATTAATTATAAAAGTCTCAAATCAATGAACTAAATGTTGAGTACCAAGAAATTGAATCGGTAAGATCTCAACCTATAAATGATACATGTTAATCTTAACATATCAAAGATTTTCGTTCTTATGCCTTTTATTTTTGTAATCATTTTTAAAATTTTAATGCAACATAAGTAGGATGCTTTTTTGGGAATTGCAGATGAACAAAACTTATATGGGGCTTGTCCTCGAATGAGGATGGGGATCCAGATATCTAGTGCACTGAGATCCATGCCTTGCACTTGATGGACGGCTGGATTACCCATCCTTTGGGAGACCTCATAAAAGTTCTGTTTGTTGTGGCATGCAGACCCAACTAAAATGACCGTTGTGGTATTTTTAGCAAGTTCCTGCTCATTTCTGGGTTGTGCAGGCTAATTCCAACGTCGCTTTTCTGTATTCTCCGTGCTTTCCAAGTTCACTGTTAGAATAATTATTGATTACATTAGTTAACTATGTATTTGTTTTTTGCTTACTAAATAACTTCATATCTAACCTTCTTTAAGGTTATAATTGCAAATTATGCCATGACATCTAATTTGAAATGGAAGCGCTTCAGTTAAGAGAGGGATGAGGTTTATCACTGTAAATTGTCACTCTTATCTGAAAGGGAATATTCTTTTTAACTCTCTATTATTTCAGTCCTGACATTTTAATTCAACATTAAGTTGAGGATATATTCGTTTTAGTTTTCCTTTTCTTTTTATTAGACAGTATGGCATGAAATTTAATGGTTTTTTAATTTCACTCTAGCTTGCTTATCTTTGTAAGTAATGCTAGAAATAACTGCAGTTGTTGCAAGTTAACGGGGCAGGTGGGAGACTAGGGACAACTGGTGGATGGCTTATAGTTGGAACTAAAATGATGATGCAAGGATGCCGGTTGTTGCATTTGTTTATGGTGTATTGAAAAAAGTAGAGAAGATTTTGAGTTTTTTTTTTTGGTTTTTTCAACTATGTTAGCCAATAGGATTATAATAATTTAATATATATTTGTTCTGTCTTTTAGACTGTTGTACATCTGTGTGGTTTGAAATGCATATATAGTGCACGCTTTTGAACTGAAGTACAGCTGAGCATGTTGGCTGTGCTGTGCTTTGTTTTGTTGCAAATTGCTATAGGAAGCAAGCTGCTTTTGAGTGCTTTGTAGAACTACTCAATGATTTGTCAACTATTGTGCTTGGGCCATTTTTTATACTTTTATTTTCTTTATTATCTTGAGAATGCTAGCAGTTCTTGGACAAAAAATGTGTTCCTGTCAAACTTAATATGGAGCGTAATAATGGCGAAGACTGTGGCTTATCTCAATGGATTTTTTATGATGATTCTGTCCCCTTGCACTCGAAACTTTCTCTGGCTAGCGTTCGAGCTTCCTGTTTAGAACATCAGCTTCCATCACCTTCTTTAAGTATTGTTTGAAACTTTGCACTTCTTTTCTGAGGTTTGTTGCATTGGCATCCTTGCTGACGACTCTCCAATATCATTATCTCCCAGTAAATTGATAGGTCGGCGCCTATCAACCTGCAGGAGGCGGTTCAAACCGCCTCCTTTCTAATTGCCTAAGCCATAGGGACGTGGGCCCCTATTTAATTAAATAAAATATCTTATTTAAGGCAAGGGATTAATCTATTTAAATTAATCTATTTTGGGAAAGGATGTTTGAATTAATTTATTTGAATTAATCTATTTTGGGAAATGAGGTTTGAATTAATTTATTTGAATTAATCTATTTTGGGAAAGGAGGTTTGGAATTAATCTATAAATAGGCATGAGAGGTGAGGGTTAGAGCATGCTTAAGTATTGTTTCCTCTTGGAGTCTCTTGGTAGTTTTGGGCTTGAGATCTAGTGTCTAGAGATTGGGAGAGAACGATCCTCCTCTCGAATAAAGGATCAATTGTATCTTTGCTAGTGTTTATTTTGCTTTGATTTTATCTAATTTACTGTTTTGGGTTGCTTTCATTATCGTCTTGTGTTCTTTCTCGCCGTTTTTACCAATTTATTGTTAGGGTTACTTGCGAACTCAAGTATTTTCGTAAGGATTACTTGCGAACTCAAGTATTTCCTATCAAAATTCTTTCTATATCCTTTTATGGTTCTAGTATTCTATTTCCTTTTTTTGAGGATGAAGTGAAGATGTGATTATTGCTTAGTATACTTGCCACTTTCCTGTTCAATGTGGTGCTATGCTGTCTAGTTTCTAGGAGTGTCAATAAATGATCCGACCTGTTGACCCGACACGAACCCGTCTCGAAAAATTAAGGTTCAGGTTGACCCGTTTAAGGGTTTTATCAATCTGTTTATTAAACATATTAGGTTCAGGTTGACTCGTGAAATCATTTTTGACCCAAAAATGACCTGTTTAATATTTGTTTCTTTAATTTTTATTACTTGTGATTATAGTCTTCTTATTTTTTATCAAATAACTTAAACTTTATAATTTATAAGTTATGTTTTTTTTAACCAAAACAAGTTAATGGGTCGGGTTCGAGTAATTCGGGTTGTTAGTAGCTCAGATTTGAGTTGATGTTTTTGACCTGTTTATTAAAAAAGTTGGGTTTGAGTTTTCTAGATTCGAGTCGGACCTGCCAACCCATTTTGATACCCCTACCAATTTCCTTATCCATAATTTAGTAAGCATTTTAAACTTCAGGACCCCTACCAATTTCCTTACCCATAATTTAGTAAGCATTTTAAAGTTCAGGGTGATGAAGGTGTGGCCATGTTGATGATAATTGAACATGTGAAGGTGATGTTGGCTTTCCCAATCCTTTATATTCACAATTGGCCGCCCTGCCCTAATTTCCATTCTCGTATATGCGCACACAAAATCAGTTTCCCATAGCTGCGCTGCTCACAATTTAAATGGTTTTTGGCCGATCCACCAATTTGATTCATTGATTATTTTGCCCTTTTACACAATCAATTTGATGATGGCTGATGAAGTTTCTGGCCCCTAAAATAGCACATTTGATTTGCCAAGGCAAATTATTCAATTTCTCTGTTATGACTTTCAGTTTTTGTGATATGAAGGATAGAAGGCCCCTTGTTGTCACACAATACATTTTGAAATTGTTGGAACACATTTTAGTATCGAGAAAAGGGCCAAAATGGTCCCCAACTATATTAAAAGACTATATTTGTCCATCAAGTCTTTAAAAATGAATCAAAATAGTCCCATGGTGGGACTATTTTGGTTTTTCTTTAAGGAGTTGACCGACCAAAATTGTTCTTTGATGTAGTTGGGGACTATTTTGGTCTTTCATAAAAAGTTTAAGGACCATTTTGATCATTTTCTCTTTTAGTAACATTAGCTTCTTAAATTGTATGATGATAATCATTGATGGAAATATCCTTGTAGAAAATGATGTAATTATATAAAAAATTTAGCATAATTATGTTTGGCTTAAAATGTGCCAATTGTTGAGTGAATCGTATGTTTTTGTTAACTTAATGCTCACTGCAAACCAAATGTCTTGCATACATATAGGAGAGGAAGAACTTGTGGTTGCTGGTGGGTCTTGTGATTTCATTTGTCGGAAAAATGATTTGAGAAGGTTTTATTGAACAAAACCATTAAAATATCTAATTAAAGAAATTAATCTATTTCTAGTTCACATTCAGCTTCTCATTTATCATGTAAATATCCAGCAGCAATGTGGATTACTGACTCTGTTAAGCAACCTTGCCAATATTTTGATTGTCAATGTATACCTTCATACGTATCCAATTCTAAAAGGCATATTTTTTGTAGGTTCATCGTTAAAACCTAAATATGAGGACATATGCCCACCACATCCAGGGTTTTTTAAAGGATTGTGCATGAGATGTGGAAAATTGGAGGAGGATAATGGATCAGCTTTGGCATTTGGCTATATTCATAAGGTACAACTTGTTAAATGAACTTCTAATCATAAAGTTTCATTTTTTTTAGTGCTAATCTATAGCATTCATGTTTCATTTATCTTGTTATATTGACTTACTCTTGGTGTTTAGTTTGTGTTTGATGTATGGCCAAATCATTATGAAATTTGGCATCATACTAGTTTTGTGGCATAAATTGAGATGAACAATATTGATTTTGCATTGAGATATAGTACGAATGAACAATAAGTTTAAAACATGAAAAACAAGAAACATTTCAACGCCCTAGCTATTTTGCTCCTAGTGTTATTATGAATGTTATTATTTTTCTTAGAAGGCCAAACACATGAATTCATTGTGAAATAACTTAATCCAAATAAATATAAAAAAAAACTTAATCCAAATTAGTTTTTAAGGTTAAATAGTTTAACATATTAATTATAAGTTAATTTGATGATTAGTTCAAAAATCAAAGTTTCGTTTTGGACGTTCGCTGAGACGATTGAAAATTGAATATGCCAATCATATAGTATGATTGATATCGTATTGTACTATTTGTAATATTAATTAAACCTTGATTTGATTGATTAATAACACTGATTAATTTAGATAAATTTTCATATCGTACTGTACGATCAGTTCAAAATTTGAAAGTTTAAATACTTAGCTAAACCTAATTGGTTGTTAGGGTTTTCAAATTAAACTGATTGTACAGTATGATTGATTTAAAAAATGTTAATTATATAATTAGCCATTTTAAACATTTTTCTTGATACCAGATCGTACAGTACAATCTGGATCGTACGGTACGATTAGTTCAGAAAAATTTTATCTTCAATTTTCTCTCTCTCCTGTGTGTGTGCAATCGCCAAGTTAACATACACTTTTCACAGGATTTTGATTTATGAAATGTAAAAAAAAATAAATGCAAAAATATAGACTCTTATAAAACGTTTTCTTATTCTATCCAATCTTGAGCCCTGAAACTTTTTGCATGGTGTATGACGTATCTAAAATATTAGTACACATAAAAACGGATATACAACACAAATGTTAGGAGAAATTAAAAGGTAATCAATAATGCTTGTTATCATTAAAATCATAAGCTCGGGATCTTGGATTGCAACAATCTCCCTCTCGCTAAGTGATTAATTTTAAAATAGGGGAAACCAAATTTTTTTTAATTTTTTTTAATTATTTATTTATTTAAAAGCAGAAAGGAAAGCAACAAACAAACACAAATAACACTAATATAGGAGAAGCACACTAAACTAAATAAAATATGAACAATCTACAACCAACATCTACTCTATCTTTTGACATCACCAGAAAGGAGGAACAACCAAACAAACAAACATAAAGTATAAGCAGAAAAGTAGAAAATAACTAAAAGTAATAAACCAACACAGACTACAACACATCACATGCATTAGAGGTAAGATGGTCCCTGATCAGATGGTGGTGGTGGTGGCGGCTAAAAATATTTGTGAAGAGCAGTAAATTGCTTATTGAACCATTCCCTATTAGCCTCATGCTGCTGCTATAGCTGCTAGCGGTGCTGTAGAAGTGCTTTTTTTTGCTGCTATATCTAAGTCTAGTGTTGATTGCATTCGTTAATATGCAAGGTGTCCTGGTGCTAGAGCTGGTGGTGGAGCGGGAAGGCCTCTCCCTTCCTCATCAAATTCTTGCTCTTTTGTTGTCTCATCTCCTCTGTGTCGGTAAAATAAAAGGTGAAACGTGCTATCAGTGTAGAATATGGGAAATTGTATGCAGTGCCAGGATAGACAAGTTAATATTTTGGTTTAGGACATAGGAAAGTAGATGTCTTAAGGGAATATTTGCTTCCGTCAGGTGAATGGGCAATGGATGGCAGTGAAATTTTGAAAGTAGCTGATAATCATGTGGACATCATTGAATTGGGTGTCAGACATAATAAAATAGGTAACCAAGGATAAGAGTGGAGTAACATTGGCTCCGTCTTCAATCTTAGGAAGGATTGAAGTACTAAGGACATGCTGGATGACTTAGGCATCTTGGTTTAAGAAATGAATTAAAGGCTGGTGTTGATTCAAGGGGGCATTCCTAATAGTGACGTTTACAACAGTCCAATCATAGTCTCCCCTAGATGAAAGCAAGTGGGGTTTAGGCCCTCCAGCGGATAGGTGTAGCTATTGTGCTAGATTGAATATTAGAACTAGATTGCCACAAAGATCTCAAGATGACGTGTAGTGATGATATTGTAATTCTAAAATAATATGTTTAAAGAGAAATTATTTTTTATTTTCTTTTAGTACTCTATTGAATTTGATCAAATTCACATTCAAATTTTGAGTAGAGAGAGCCTACAATCCTTGAATGAGGTCTTTTCACTTATATGAACCGGATAATTATAGTAGTGTTTGACACCTAAATTTGAAATGTTAGCGTTGAAAATCACATGAATTCAAGGAAAATGGCTTGCCGTCAAAAAATATTGTAAAAAATAAGGATAAAGGCATTTTCTCAAAATTAATCTTTGATGCAATCATTGCAAAAAAAAAGGAGCATATCCAAGAGAGAAGTTAGGAACTCTAGGAAAAACTCCAATATTATGTTGGAAATAAATAAGGCCAAGTAAAAGAGCAGGTTTATGTTATTGAACTAGACGAGACTTAAGAGAAATTGACAATGAAAGGAACTTTCTCAGCTTCGAAAAATCTTTCAGGTCATGCTTTGTATCTCAAAATGATACAATTTCTAGCTCATATATTTAATGCCTCTATTAGTTCCCCTAAAACCTAGATACTGAATTCAGGAGCCACCAATCACATGAAATTTTTATTTGTTTTATAAATATTAATATTGAAAACTTTATTATGGGATTTTTGAAATTAGTAAACATTATTTTGTCTCAATTTTATGGAATAGATTATCAACTAGTAGTTGCTCATGTTGCTAAAATGAATAAAATTCACATTCTTATTTTCTTAAACCCCGATGGTCCATACAATACTATTATGTGAAAATGCCTTTTTACACGGGATGACGAAAAAGAAGTTGATATGGATCACCTATTAAGATTCTTTAGCTTTTCATAGAAATTCAGGTTTGAAGGCATTATAGGGCCTTAAATAATCCCCAAGGGCATAGTTTAGTAGATTTATAAAAGATATGTATGGAATTGAATATTTAAATAAAGGCAAGCAGATCATATACTCTTCATAAGGCATTCCATTGATAAAAAAATTTAATTTTTTTTGTGTATGCTGATGATATAATTGTTGCACATTATGATTTATGACAATGAAAGAAAAGAATTATTTGGGGAAAAATTTGTCATAGACTTTGAAATTGAAGAATTTGACAAGCTCAAATAATTTTTGGGTTTAAAAGTGGCTCTTTTAGGAAAAAAGAACATCTCTAAACAAAAATATATCCTGAATTTTTTGACTAGAATAAAAATAACCGATTACAAGTTATGTGAAACTCCAATTGAATTAGGTAAAAAAATCGACACAGATGAAAGAACAAAAGTTGACATGAGGCAACATCAAATATTAGTGGGGAAACTAATTTATCTATTCCACGCCATATTGGCATCACATCTGCAGTAGCTCTCATAATTCAATTTATGCACAAATCAAAGGAATATTACCTTCAAGTTGATTACTGATCGTTCTTTAGCATATATAATCAAATTCTAAAAGGGAATTTTCTACAAAAAACATGAAAAATCTACAAATTAAAAGTTACATTGTTGCTAACTATGTTGGATCAACAATGTACAGATCTAAGTCCACATTACTGTGAGGCAAATCTTGTAAGTAGTAAAAAATAAATGGTTATTCCTAGTCATGCACTGAATCTAAATTCAGAGCAATTGCTCAATGTACCTTTAAATTTCTATGAATTAAATTTATACTTGAAGATTTAAAAATAAAATAGAAAAGACTTATGAGAATTTACTACGAGGATATTTTGTGACAATAAGTCTACCATCAATATTTCCCTCGTACGCCTCATCTAGAATTGCGCAATTGCGCCTCTGAGGCGCGCCTCAGTCCAGGTGAGGCGTACGCCTCAGCCAGGTGAAGAATTGCGTAAGCCTCGAGGCGTTTTTCGGTCAAATTGCGCAAAGGCGCGCCTTGAGGCGTGCCTCTAATTGCGCAATTTTAAACAGAGCACTGAATCTAAATTCAGAGCAATTGCTCAATGTACCTTTAAATTTCTATGAATTAAATTTATACTTGAAGATTTAAAAATAAAATAGAAAAGACTTATGAGAATTTACTACAAGGATATTTTGTGACAATAAGTCTACCATCAATATTTCCCTGCAATCCAGTACACAATATGCTCAAACCAAATATGTTCCTACAAATAGTCAAATTCGTTGACATATTTACTGAAGATCTTTGCTATCCTACATTCAAAAATATTATATGCATACTTGGAATGGTTGAACTCTACCCTTTAATTTGAGGGGGAGTGTTGAGAACACAAATCCCATGGATTGCTAACTCGATAGAAATAAGAACGGAATTAGTGAAATCAGCTCAAGCATAATGAAGGGATTGATTGTCCATTCATTCCATTATTGTATTTGGACATGCGACAAAAATAAGAAAGGAAGGTATGCTCACTCTGATTGGTGACTTGGAGGGGTATTATGCTATAATAGAATATATGCATACAGAATTTAATATGTGGGTCGCTGGCCCTTCATTGTAATTATTTCTTTACTAATGAATTGAATAATTTTCTAGTTACTATAGACATCATTTATGTTTAAATACCAATAGGATGAATGCACAATCCAATTTTTGTAGCTACTTTTACCATCTTTATTTTTATACAAATCAGAATGCATGTATCATATAATTCAAATCCTGTCTAGAGTACCATTGGTATAGTCTTTTGTTGCTAAGATGTTTGCTGGGATGAACTTAACAAACATATATTAATTTGAGCAATCTTTCTTCTTCAAAATGGTATCATAACCTGTTTGAGCCAGAGGCATTCAATTAGAATTTATGACTTATTTTTTATTTTTATTTTAATTATTTTTTTTAATATCACAATGCATTTAGCATAATTGAAATCCTTTTTTGGAATGCCATTGCTGTAGGTTTTTTGGCACTGCTAAGATGTTTGATTGAGCAAACATATAACAAATCCATGTTAACTTGGGCAATCTTTCTGGCTCAACATTGTACATTATACCCCATTTGAGCCAAGTACTTCAATTACAGTTTATTGCTTAGTTTTGAGAAGAGGAAGTCTTGGAAACTAGGCCTTACCGGAACTTAATTTTTTCTTCTTAAATTTAATCTTACTGATTCCTTCTAATTGCCTTTATGACGTTGACACGATCATTGTACCAAAAAAATATTTTCACTGAACTTTTATCTGCATATTATGTGCCAAATTTCAGGATTTAAAGCTAGCTACTAGTGAAATTGATAGATTGCGTGGAGCAGATCTGAAGAGCCTATTGCGTGAGAAAAAACTAGTGCTGATTTTAGATTTGGACCACACACTTCTCAATTCGACAGTACTCACTGATGTCTCTGCTGAGGAACAGTACTTATTGAGAGAAGCAGAATCATTGCGGAGTATGTTCTGTTCACATAAATGGCTTCATAATAACTCGTTGTCTATTCTTTTAACTGTTTTTCTGATGGCATTGATGTAGATGCTCCGGAGAGAAGCTTGTTGAAATTGGATGGCTTGCACATTCTAACCAAGTTGAGGCCTTTTGTCCATAACTTTTTGAAAGAAGCTAATACGATGTTTGATATGTACATATATACTATGGCGGAGCGTTCTTATGCACTGGAAATTGTGAAGCATCTTGATCCTATGGGGGTGTACTTTAATTGCAAAGTGATATCACAATCTGATTCAACGCAAAGGTATCTGAAAGGACTTGATGTTGTATTGAAAGAAGAAAGTCATGTAGTGATTCTTGATGATACAAAGATTGTAAGTAATTATTTTGGCTTGTTTTCTTTTTCATTAAACATCTTCGTCATAATTTTTTGGTTTATTTGATGGTAGTTTCACGTTTTCATGTTTTATAATGCACACATCATACATCCATTCAGATGTGTCCACCTACCGTCCATTCAGTCACATGCACAAGCACATAAGGATTCATAAAAATGTGAAAAAAATATAGCATCCCACGTTATCCTTGCAAAAGAGGAAATTGACTCATTAAGGAAGAGTTTGTTATGTCCTTCGAATGGAAAAAGGTTGTCCTTCAATATTTTTAAGTGTTGATGGAGGGGATAGTGCTTCAAAGCAAAGATAGTAAGTTGCAGTAATGGGTGAGTTTTTCTACATGCATTTTCTTCCACATAGGATCAAACCAGGTTGGGCAGATATAATGGCGCCTTTACTTGAGCTCCAAGGCTAAGGGTTTGCAAAATGCCTATCCTTGTCAATTGATATGGTTCTTCCTGAACCGTCCAGGGCAGGTTCAGGTCTATAGGAGACGGGCTAAGCCACCTCCTTAAAACAGTCGCCCACCCAAGCTTGTGGCCCCCCCTAGGGCGGAAATTAAAGAGAGGGAAGGGGGCAGCTAGCACAAAGGAAAACTATTTTGAATTAATGTATTTTAGGAAGCTTTTTATTGGTCTTTTATTAGGAAGATTTGTATTTAAAGAAGAAGAGGCTAGGGTTAGGGGAGGCATGCTTTGAGTTATTCTCTTGGAGTTTTCCTTGGCGTCTTGGGCTCTAGTTCCATCATCTAGAGATTGGGAGAGAACGATCCTCCTCTCGAATTGAGGATCAATTGTATCTTGCTTTGTGTTTGCCTTGCTTTGATTCCATTATTGCAATCTATCTTTTTGGTTTGATTTCAGCGAGATTTTCGCATTATTCTCGCTGTTTTTATCAATTATTGCTAGAGTTGTTTGTGAACTCAAGTATTTCTACTTGGATTACTTGCAAACTCAAGTATTTCCTATCATCAATCCATCGTTAATCTTACCCTAATCCCTTCAGTTATCTGGCATATTTTGGTGTGTTCTATGGGAACATGGAAATGCATTTTATAGGACATGCATGTTTCACTATATATGTATATATGTTTGTTAATATTGACAACTATATGCTGGTTATTTGATTTGATTAGGTGTGGAATAAACATAGCGAAAACTTGATTTTGATGGAAAAGTATCATTTCTTTGCTTCTAGCTGCCGCATATTTGGTTTAGGCATTAAATCTTTATCAGAATTAAGGCAAGATGAAAGGGAGTCTGATGGCGCACTTGCCAATATTCTTGGCGTCCTCAAGCGTGTTCACCAGAAGTTTTTTGATCCGGTAAGTTGTATAATTTAGTATTTTATGCGATTTTCTGTTTCAAACTACTTGTTGAAGTTTCTCCCAACATTTTTTTGCTGTTTGTTTGTGTGTTTAGGACCTTGGTACTGATCTCCTATCCAGAGATGTCAGACAGGTGCAGATTCACCTCCATGCTTAACTTATTAGCTTTCTTCACAGTCCCCAATGAGCTTGATATTCTATACCTTGTATTTGTCACGCCCGGTTTGTTATTTGTTTAAGGCCTCGTTTGGTTGTCCGTAAGTTTTCTGTTTCCGAATTCAATCGGTAAAAAAGTTACTATTTTATTGTTTGTTTACGCGACTTTTTCAAAACACTTTTTGCTATACCTCCGTATTTCGCCAATTTGAGAAGAAAAAAAATTCAACTTCTCCGTCTTAATACCTCCGTTTAAGAATGAAAAAAAAAAAAAAAAAACATGTTGGGGAACCAAACGAAGCCTAAGTTGCTCCATGGATTTTTCTTTCAACTGCACTTAGAAAACCTTGTAAACTATTATTATTCTTCTGCATATTGCAGTTTTGAGTGACTTGGAAACTTCCGGTCTTTATCAAAACCTGCCCGGTAACGTATTGAATAAAATGCAATCTTGTTTTCTCTAGGTTCTCAAAAGGCTCCGGCAGGAAATCCTGCATGGCTGTGTTATAGTTTTCTCCAGAGTATTCTACACAACTTCACCGCCGGAGGAGGAGGCGATCTGGAAGATGGCAGAACAATTGGGAGCCATCTGCTTGAAGGAGGTGGATGCCTCTGTGACTCACATTGTTTCGCTGGATCCGGGAACTCAGAAGTCTTGGTGGGCTTTGAAAAATAACAAGTTCTTGGTTAATCCTCGTTGGATTGAAGCAGCAAATTTCATGTGGCGCAGGCAGCCAGAGGAGAATTTCCCTGTTTGTATTTCAACTGACAAAACATAGACAGTTTTGCTTTTTGTAGTCTAGATTATGATGGGATCGCCAGGTTCTAACACTTGATTCTCTTAGATGCTCTTTTTTTTTTTTTTTTGATAGCTTTAGTTGGAGATTTGATGGCTTTATAATAAAATTAGTTCTCCTGGAGGGAAACAGCTGGTTTAATGATTTAAATGATTGTGTAATGCGTTGTTATATCGCTGTGGCTATCTAAGAGAAATTATTCTATGCGGATGTCGAACACCGTTCAGAGACCAACTAGAATGAGCCACGTCAGCTTTACCAAGCGGTACCGAGCCGTATCGAGCCGTGGTATTGACGTGGCTCATACTGATTGGTCTCTAAATGACGTTCGGCATCTGCACAAAATAATTTCTCCTATCTTAAGCGGCCTTTTCGCATATTGTGTGCTGTATTGGGCAATACTTGAAAGATTGTTGTGTCTCAGTAGGCTATGACATCAAGAGAAAAGTTTTTTATTTCAATTTTTTTTTGTGTTGTGATCTTAATATTAAAATATAAAAATTTGTTTTAAATGAAGCTTAAGATTTTGTTTAAGATAATTTTTTATTGTTTTTTAAAGTTGATTTAAAAGGTAATAAAATTTTATTTCAGATGAAGTCAAAGTGTTGGGACAGTGATTATTTTGTAGTATTATAAACATATCATTTTACTTGTTTTTTTAAAGTGGATTTTAAGTATAAATATTTTTTGAAAATAAAATTTTGTACTAGAATGTTTTAAATAGTAAGAAAGTTATCACATATAAAATATTAGGTTTCATTTTGAATAATTTATTTTTTATTGTTTTTTAAAATAATATTTTAGTATAAAAATTTTAATTTTTATATTATTTTTTTGGACATTTAGATCAATTAAAATAGATTCATACATATATTGTACACATAAAATTTAAATTTAAAATCACTTAATTGATAGTTTAAGTTTTCAATTAAGAAATTCGTCTCAAATAAAGTCTTGATAAACTTTGTAGTGGATGAGTTGTCCTAGATCTGACACTCGATTTGGCCTATTGGAGACATCCACTCGGCTACATGTTTAACTCAATCTTGGGGGTCATTAATGCTATGGAGAATGGAAGGACGCTATGGTAAGGCCCTCACCATCAATGAAACTTAAACTTTTCCAATTATTAGCATGATAATCAAACCACTTTATATTCACTCTCCTAATTGTGTTATCATAAGGCTGACATTTTATGTGTTCAAATCATCTAAGACGAGTCTCTCTAATCTTATCTATCATTAGAGCTATTCCAACCTTCTAAAGTACATACTCATTTCGTATTTTGTCTCAAAGAGTGAAGCCACTCATCCACCTAAGCATCCTTATCTCAAAAACACATAACTTTATGCTTATTTAATGACTAACATTCTGCGTCATAAAACATTGCAGGTCTCACCACCATCTTATAGAATTTTCTCTTAAGTTTTAAGGGTACTTTTCTATCACACAACACACTCGATGCATTCCTCCACTTCAACCATCTAATTTGAATTATACTAATAATATTCCCATCTATTTCGCCATCATTTTGAACAATAGACCCAAGACTAAAATATCTACTCTTATTAATGGCTTGATCGTCCAAAGTCAAAATCCTCCAATTTGATCTATTACTACTAAAATTACACTCAATGTGTTTAATTTTAGATCAACTCAAATGAAAACTTTTAGACTCTAAGGTTGACCTCCGTAATTCAAATTTTTCTTCAATACCCTCTCTAGTCTTATCAACAAGAAAATATCATTGACAAAAATCATACACCGGGGAACATCCCCATATAAATGTCTAGTAAGAACATCCATGACTAAAGTAAAAAGATATTGGTTTAATGCTGATCATTTGATGTAATCAAACTGAAATAGAAAAATACTTAGTTGAGCCATATTGTGTTTGAACATAAGTAACAACTCTTGTATGCATATCTTTAATGATTTGAATATAAACATTATTTATTAACTACTTTCTTTTCTAGAACTCTCTAGAGCACTCATCTTAAAACTTTATCATATGATTTCTCTTTCTCTAAATCAATAAATATCATATGTAGATCCTCCTTATACTTCTCTATCAAATCTCTCAATAAATGTATAGCTTACATACTAGACTTTCCAACATGAGTCCAATTTGATTTTGAGAAAAGTTAGTATCACGTCGTAAACTAGCTCAATAATTCTCTGCCATAATTTTAATGTATGACACATTAACTTAGGGGATGTTTGGTATGTAGTAAAATGGGTGTAAAGTATTTCAAGTGCAGGGGTTTGGAGAATATTGGTGTTTTGTTTTAAGTAAACAAAATACAATGTATAATTTTGGTATGTTTAGAATTCATCTTCTGGTTCATTTTTAGTGTATTTGAAGTTCTTTAGATTTGAGTGATTTCTAAATATACTAGAACTTTATTGCTTTTCGTCGCCCGCTGCAGCCGCCTGCTACCACTAGTGGCGGCCGCCAGTAGTCATCGTCGATCTCCGACCACAACCACCGCCTGCTGCCACCACTACCAGCCGCCATCAGTTATACTTTACAATGGATTGATTTTACTTAAAGTAGAACAAAAAAAAGTTCTCCACATTTATTTTGCACTCGTGCATCAAAGTATTTCAAATATAATGTGTTACTTTCTTACACTGAATTCCTTCTTCAACTAATCAAACATCCTCTTAATTCCTCTACACTCTTATGCATCACCTTTATTCTTAAAAATATGAATCAACACACTCCTCCACTCATTTAACATCTTTTTAGTCTTCAAAATAATATTAAAAAGTTTTGTAAGTCTCGGAGGTCGTTTGGTTCTTCAGGTAACACACTGTACCGGCACGCACATTGCTTAAATCGTTGTTTTCGCCTATTTTAGAGTGGTTGATAACTAGGGGTCAGCAAATGCCCCCCAAACAAATGTGGTGTGCGTATAGAGCACGCCACATTTGTTGTGACACCATTGAATGCCACTTGTAGTTCTTCTTTTATGCATTTAACCTCGTCATATTCATGCTTAAAGCAATTTCACATTATTCTTGTGTAGGAAATGTTTCATTGGGAGAGGACTGATGACTTGCCTCCTGGTGAGCCTAGTGAGGTTGTCATTTGGGAGGTCATTGATTGATAGGACCCTCGGGGTGATGTCGATGTCTGGGACAATTAGAGTAACATGAGGATATAAAGTGGGGGAAATGACATTTTTCACAGCTTCTTAATTTATCCATTTCCCCATACTTCCGGAGTGTTATGTAGATTCAATGGAGTTTGAGTATCTCAGCAGGTGGGTTAGTAGCCTCAAACCGAAGTGTGCGGGACTACATCCCACTAGAGAACACCGTCGCTTAGGTCAGTTGGGGTACTTGTGACATCTTGGAGCCCATGACACACATAGTTGAGCCAGAGGGACAATTGAGGTTACTTAGTAATCGTTAACTACAGTCTTCTTCTTTGGAGTGGCCGCGAGATTCTGTAGTTGGGAAGGCTCAGATTCCAGCTAATGGTTATGTCCATTGGGCCATATACATCCTACGGACACACAGGTGTACCCTTTAGGAGGCAGGGATTTACAAGGCTTTATATGCCTCACTGTTCGACTACGGGCGCATTTCTCGTTCTGCATTGTTCTAAAAGATAAGCACAAGAATAAAAAAAATAGTAAACCAAGATAATACATCCCCGAAGAGAATAGGATGGATTTAGACAACAAAATAAATCCCCATAATGAAATAAAGAAACCAAGGAAGCACTGGATACCCCCGGTTGCTTAAGAAGAACAAAGGCCATGCAGGGGAAAGAAAACCATTAGAAGTAAGGGATAACAAAACTTATCATCATTATCCATCATTGTTTCCACCAGCATAGAGAGATTCATGTGTCACCCGATAATTTTTCCACCACCTGATTTTAAGCTCAACAACACGTATAATTTGCTGAATAAATGTATTTTGGTAGTGAATTTGATGGCCAAATCCTCTATTGTTCCCTTCTCTCCAAATAAAATAGATTAGACAATTTACTATTAATAAATAGACATTTTTCATATCTTTAGAAGTGCTGATAGCTGAAATATAGTCCAGGACCCAGTGAATATTCGGCCTTAGCATAAACAAGCAGTAGAAGGAAAGCAACATGCAAATGGAGTATATATGAGTAGAACAGAACAAAACAGAACAAAGTTTACAAGTCAGAAAAAAAACAAAATATTCCTATAAATAAGACTACCTATAGTTTTAAGCCCGCCAAGCAAAGCTAACCAAGAGTAACCAGAGAGGCAGAGAACCATTGAAAATACTTTTTGTGCTATACATGCTTGCACCAGGCAGGCTTGACAGAATTATCAAACAAGAATAGAAGAAAACTTTTAAACTTAGCCAAACAAATCCCCATATTTGATCATTTAGTCCATGATTTGCTCATTAAAAATGATTAAAAAATCAGTTTTTAGAAGTAAAAATCGTCCCTAAATAAGTAAGATATTGTTAAATTCTTCAGCAAAATTAGTCATCCACTATCTGAATTTGTATGTTCTGAATTATCAGCTAAGAACACTGCAGCTTCCGACTATGACATGCAGAGCCTCCTAACGAAGAACTATTAGACAATAATCAGCAGCACTAGGTGTCAGCCAAGCATTAAGATTTCTACTATTTCTGAAATGAAATTGACAATTTGTTTCTTAGCAGATAAGTCCTAATTATAAAAAATTTATGACCGACTGTGTATATCCCAAGTATAATCCAACATATACTATTTGCATACTATTTGCAAGTTTATAAATTAAAATTTACAAATATACATCAGCTATCAATCCATCGGTCCATCAATGCCATCTGTGAGTAGCTGTCCTGATGCTAATCCTCCATTGTCTATTTCTGATCACAAATCTTTCAGTCATCTTTCTATTGATCGTCAGTCTACTGCTCTCAAGTTTTTCATTTTATTGACAATTCTGTTGTTGCGACTATGTAAGGAATCTGTTATTTTAATCAAACTTTGTTAATTATAATTGTATGGTGATAATGTTGGTAACAAAGGAAATCAAGTATGTTTGTGGAGGAAAAGATAAAGAGATAATGGAGGAAATATTCGGTAGGTGTTATGCAAGGCTGAGTTTGGCTCTTAGCTAGAGAGGAATCGAGAGAAGAAGAGGAGAAAGAGTATGATGCGCGCATC